CTTACTTACTCGGATTAATAGAGGATTGTGGCTCCAACTTGAAAAACGAAAATTTGTTCCGAATTGTCCACGAATATTTGCACCTAAACTACGCAAAATTCAAAGTGCTGAATGGGAAAAAGGTGAATAAATTAGTGTCTAAATATTATATATATTTTATTAGACATAGACACATAATTCAAAGCATCCAAAGTCCTGCATTTTCGCCATTAAGAAGAAAAGAAGTGGCCGAAGAATATAGAAAACACCTTAGCATTGTAACTAAAATGTATCAAAACTAAACCTATTATGTGAACAAATAAAAACCAGTCTGTCAAAAATGGTCTGTTATTGTAAACGTCAAAAAGTTTCCAGTATAATTCGCTGTTGGGTACCCCACGAGAAAAAAATTTCCACTAAAATACCTCCGTTGCCATAGTGATCTGTCAAAAACACGTATTTTGATTGGTTCAAAATTACAGGTATGGAATTTTCTTTAAAACATATTTATTTATTTGTTTAAGAATCAATGTTTGAGTTTTGTGCATATTTTAAATAAACATGTATATTTTTAAATGTCTTTATTTAGTTAATAATATATTAGAAAAAAAAACTAGAATACATTTCTGAAATGTTACTATTTAATATTTCTAAAAGATTTCAAATTTTCATTTCACAAATATTACTGTGAAATATATTTACAGGACAGTTTTACGTTTTAGGCATATTTCAGAAATGTTTCTGGGATGTTTCGTAATATTTATACAACATTGCAAATGTTTCAATGTAACATTGTTGAAATATTTCCGAAATATATTTGTGCTGTATGGGATCTATGGAGGGTAGAGGAAAGGAGAACAATCTCTGTATACAAAAAGTGTCCCTCAAATGTATACAATTAAGATGGCGCTTCTGTGCCCAGGGGACGTCGACAGTCGATAATTTAGATCACACAATGACACCAATGATGTATATAGTAATAAATATTGCTCAACCATAAAAAACTAAAAACTACACCGTGAAAAGTGACTGATCGTAGAAGAGTAAGTGTTCTGTGATCGTAGATAAATTTTGACAATACACGACAATAGTCAAATTTTATTGAAAAATAATAATATAAACAATAAATAATTCTTATGAATGAGCAATCTATATGACTATATAGCATTGGATTTTGTCCCCTGGCTACACGAGCGCTTGCATACATTTTGGTGGCCACTTTTTAATATAAAGATCCATATAAGATTGTCCTCCTTTTTTCTACCCTCCATAATGGGATCTATGATGGGATCCTAGATAGCGGTACGGAGACACCGCCGTAATATAGCTGTTGCTATTTGAAAAGGTAGGCAATACATTATACATAATCCTAGATAGCGGTTCGGAGACATCGCCGTAATAAAGCGGTTGATGAAGACACAAAAATTAATTTCGTGATTCGATTCGTGCGGTAGTAAAGAGTGATACACAAAAAATGTTGCTAAATTACACCATCACCCACCAGTGGCGCACCGGGAATTTTTTTCTTTGGGGGAGGGGTTTCTCAATGCGTTGATAAATTTACAAACCCATGCAAAACATTTTGTACAGAAGTTAATTTAAGACTTAAGAAACGCATTTCTTAATCGTGTTTAATTTATAAACTTCAAGTTATTCGCAACTTGTGCCATTTATTAATGCTGGGTTTTAGTTCAAATTATAAAGAAAGAAATTTCAGGTGGCGTAAATATAAATATACACTCGTAAGAACAATAGAAAACATTTTTATTAAAAATTTTGTACTTATAATAAAATATCCAAACGGCGTGACTTTAGAGGCAACTGGTTTAATACCTCTTCTTCGTCTATTGGAGTGTCCGGGTGTATAAACGTCAATGCTAATTCATTTAGTTCTCTTCGCCAGTAGAATTTCTTAAATAGGTCAAAATAGGCCAAAAAGTAGGCCAAAATAAATTAAATACTTAAATAAAAAAAAACTTTAATTATCTACTATACAAAATACAATCACAAAAAAAATTACATCAATTTCTTCTTCCAATTTCTTTTATTAAATATTTTAAATAAAAATCACCTAACTTTGGTTCAGCACATAACCGAAAATTGTAATTTCTCTCAATTTTCTCAACGAACATTCCTAGTGGGGTCCAAACTATAAAATAACAATATCTGGCTTTTGTTATAGCCAATTGTCCTTGTACCTGATAATAATAATTATCTTTTTTTTTTAAATTTAATTTGGCCATCTGTATTGGCTAGATATTTAATTTTTTTTTTCTTGAATTCCCATTTCTGGTGTCAATTTGGAACAAGAATATGGACAGTTAATTATTATTATTAATAATGCCGTCTGGACTTGCTCTCAAGTATGGATGTTTTTCATAAATAAATAATTCACATTCTTGTACCGTTTTTCCATATTTATTTTTAAATTCTTTTATCGCAATAGATTCATGATCTTGTCTCCATTTTGTAGCGACTGATCCGTAAAAAGATGAAAATAATATGTTATTAACAGTATTTTTTGCGTATTTTGTAAACGGTTCCAAAATTTGAAGCCGTGAGCATATTACTACGATGTTCTTTCCACAGATCATTACTGACATGACCTCTAGTAGATACTTTAATTTTACAAATATCATCTATTGATTTCGGTAAACTATCCAAAAATTGCAGTTTTTTTGTTCCAAATCATCGTCATCATCATCGCATTGAAGTAAGTAGTACCTATCTTTAGGTGCGCCACTTTTACGTTATTTTAATTGAGGGACCCTGTCTTTTCTGCTCCATCTACGTTTGCTAATTTGAGTAACCAATCTTTGTATGTAAATCCCAGGAATACTTTTTGACAGCTTTTTATAAAGGGAGGGAATATAGTTCTTTTTTATTAAGAGAAATGGCCTGCAGCTGTACACCGAACATTATATTCTCCTTTTACTGCAAAATTAATTCTCTTTTCTCCAACAAATTTGGCTACGATTGAATTATATGTCTCTGCAGCATTATTAGTCCTGTTTAATAATAAATTGTGGCTGTTTTGAACCAGCCTATTACCAGCAGATACAATGTCATCCATTAGTCCGCATTCTTCCATTTCTGTCATAATCTCGGTCGTTTTGTTCTCTTTTACAAAAATATTGTGCACAGTTTGAATGATTTCTAAATGTGTAGTAAGGAGAGTTTTTAATGTCTGCAGTTAATTGCTTCACGTTGTCAACAATATCACTGATATTTTTTCTGTGGTAATTTACAACCGATTTAATTCCCACTCGTAACTTCAAAATCCTATCACTCCTGGACTTATTATTTGATCTGTATTTTTTCGCAAGATCACGCAAATTTAGTATTTATAAATACTTTTTACAAATACGATTATTTAAATCTTAAATACTTTTTTTAATGCAAAAGGTATTTAAATAACAAATGCCTACAGTATTTAAATACTTGTTTGGGATAAATACTTACACAAAAATATTTAAATATATAAAAATTACTTAAATACATATGCAGTATTTAAATGCTTAAAAGTATTTAAATACTATCAAAATAATAAAACAATCATGTAATTTTCTTATAGGTCTAACACCAAGATTAGAATACATAGCTAATAAATACAACATAAAAAATATTTTATCCTTTTAGTACGTTTAAAAAATTTGTTATGTTAAAAAACATATACAGTGTCCAAACAGGGCCGCCGACAGCCAAGTTGGGCCCCGGGAAAATTTTCCATTTTTTATAAAAAAAATTAAGCCGTTTCAATATCACATCTCTTAAAATAAAAAAAAAAATCCGCATTGTTGAAATCTACACACCCTCCGGAACATACAAAAGACCTGTATCAAAATTATGCCGGATAGATGTTGATTCTTCAACGTGAGCTAAACAATGATTTCGTCAAGAGGGGAAGGGGGTGAATAATGTTGTTGTACTTTATTTTTGTCTCATTTTTTGTAATGTTATATTAATTTAGTTAAATCCTATATGTATGTATTTGAAAGCAGTGATATTAGTTTTGACATGTTGACTGAATATATATTTAAAGCTCCAGGAAAAAGTCTGAGTTTTATTATTATAGTTACAAGACGACGAAACATGCCTTATTTTAAGAAACTTTTAAAACTTTATATTTTTATAACCAGTTTTCCTAAATGAAAAATAGTTTTATTCACTTTTCGTCTTTTTAAACACGTTTTTTGAAATATTTTCATATAAGATTGTTTTCATTTTACCATTTTATAATTTTATTTAATCAGAGATAAATTTTATAGGTTACGTTAATCTTTTTTTTTTTTCGTCCTATCCTGAGCTGCGACTACAGTCAGGAATCTCTATGGAAAAGAGCTTCACTGCCCTCGTTTGAGACTAGCATGGTTCGCGATGTGACGGTACCGCGACCGCCTAGTAGGGTTCCCTCCTTTATGGTACAGGTGAGAAATATCGTGGTAGATGGATTGAACGACGAAGTCCGATAGAATGGCCAGCTCGATCACCATACCTTACATCCTTTATATTTTTTCTGAGGGTGCCTTAAATCTTAACGTTTACGCTACATATCCTGGCAGTATGGACGTTTCAAAACAATGAATTGTTAAAGAATGAAAGGCAATTGCCACTGAAACAATTAAACGAGTACGATAAGAGTTTAGCAGTAGGATGTTTTACTGTCAAGAAGTAGACAGAGCACTTTTTGAACAGTTACTGTAAGTAATGGTTCTTGAATCTTTAAATAAATGGGAAACTATAATGTTAGTGTTAATTTAGTTTATCCATCAAAATTATCCTATTATATATTATTTTAAATTAGTATGACTAAATTGTAATTTTAAATACCTTTCAAACGCGGTCTTTGCCAGAAGGTCCCATTTAAAGTTATGTGGCCCTGTGACATCATCTATGACTATTACGTCACTTGTTTGCCACTAGTTTATTTTCACCCTTCAAATTCCATTGCAAAAATATAAACCGTTCAAAATATGGGGAGGGGACTTATGAGTATAATCTTAAGAAATTAAAAGACAATTTTACTTATTTATATTTTATAATTTACATTATGCTAAAAACGGATGAAATTACTTATAAAATACCTACCCAATGATACTAAGTGTAAAAACAAACATTAGTAAAATTCCTTATTATCAATTTTTTCCGCTTAGTACTAAATATCCCCCTAATGAAACAAACATTACGAACACAGCAACTAAAATCACCCAATATTTCTTTATAAAACCATCTTCTACTTCATCCTCATGTCTTCGTCTCTCCCTGTTCTTTTTCTTGCCCTCGAATATTTTTTGGTATTTTTCTAGCTCCTTTTTATTTTTTATTTCCTCCTCTTTCCTCTTCTGTTCTTCGGCCGCTTCCCTAATTTTCCTCGTTTCTTCTTTTTTAACTTCGCATATTTCGTCGCATTCTACGATTGCCATGTTCTTGCGGACGGTCTCGCAAGAATATTCTTTCCTGATTCTTTTGCATTTGCACGGCACTTTGACTTTTTTCTTGCACTGCTCGGCGTTTGGACACGGTCCAGGATGACAGTTCGATTTACACCTGTGGCCGCATACATACTGAAACAAAATAAATTTTGAGTTGCTTAAAAAAACTTTTTAAAAATGTGTAAATATAATAAATCAACTAAAGAGTGTCCAAAATTGACCTTCGGATTTAATTTAATAATAAAACACAAAAAGTCCTTGAAATAATATAATTATTATTATTGTATTATTTTAAAGTTTAAATGTTACGGTTAATAATGAAAAATGATATCCGGCATGTGATCCCGCTGCTACTTTAGCATGGTAACATTCTTTTTACAAAATTTTCAAGAACATTTTCGCAAACACTATGTTCAATTTCTTCATTTTTTTGAATAATGTTAACTCGAAGCTCTTCAGGGGTTTGAGTGTTATTAGCATAAACTTTTCCCTTCAAGAAGCCCCACAAGAAATAATCCAATGGTGTAAGGTCGCACGACCTAGGCGGACAATTAACCTCAGCTCTTCGAGAAATTATTCGAATGCCAAATCTCTCCCTTAAAAGATTTAGTGTTTTATCCGATGTGTGGCAAGTGGCGCCGTCTTGCTGGAACTACATGTTCTGGACATTCTAATTCGTTCCCCAAATAATCTCGTAATCATTGTCCTGTATCGCGCTCCATTCACAGTTATTGGATCACCAGCTTCATTCTGAAAAAAATAAGTACTATAACGCCACTAGACCAAAAACCACACCACAGTCACATTTCCTGGATACAGTTGTTTTTCCAATATTTCTCTTGGAATTTCTTCACCCCATATTCTGCTGTTGAAATTTCTTCATAAAAATCTCAATAAATTTAACTAATGGTGCTAAATTTCTTCCGAAATGCGTAAGGCATATTCTTGCAGTTTCAGCAAAACCTTCCTCATTTTGGTAATAAGTTTTCCATGTTGACCAAAAAACAAGTAACCGCAAAGTTTTTACTTGACATATGTCACCATATAAATACTGTCAATGAAGATTACCAAAAACGGCGGTCAATTTAAATCGGAATGTGAAATTTGGACACCCTATTGAATAAAGATAAATAATACCCAATTTTAACAAATTTTCTTGCAAAGTGTTATGTCCCTTGCTAATAGATGTAGTAGCCAGAAGATTTAACTTTTAAGTTTCTTTATTTGTGGTTATTGATTTCACAAATCCACAATTGGAACATTTAAAGAATAATTTTGAATTTAATCCTATACTGAATTCTCTGACAAATGCTAAATAACCAGTTTTTTGTTATTCAACATTTATGACTTTTCAGTGATCTTATATCACCAATGAAATGACGATTCGTCTATCAGAGATGAAAAATGGATACAACGTCATTGTACTGGCACTTTGCCCTACACAGGAATTTTCAATGAAAATTATCCACTCTAAATAATTTTAAAGGTGAGGCTTTCATGAAAAAATACAAGAACAAGTCGAAAATCATATAAAGGGACAATTCTGCTCGTGGTATACTCGTTGTAACTTTTACGGTCTCCTCCCCGGTTATGACCACTCTTCTTGTTTTTTTTTTTAATGAAACACCCTATATATTAGTAAGACAATAACTCAAAATCAATCCCATATAAATTAATTTTCTTAAGTTAAATGTTTTGGCCTTAGGACATCATCAGGTCTAAAAATTAAGTGATAAGCGCTAACAAAACACTACTAGGACGTCCCCATAAAAAGGTTAAAAAAATACACGTGCATGATGAAAACCGAGCCCCAACAAGGGTAAGGTAGTTGTAAGAAATATATGTGGGACATGTTGATAAATGTGAGAATATGGCGTTGAGTAGTGTTAGCCTATAAGTTTCTTTATGCAAATCTTTTTCAACTTGTACAATTTCTATCATATTTCCCACATATGGTATCTCTTATAACTGCCTTTTTAATCATACACGTGTATTTTTTTTAAATATTTTATGGAGACGTCATTTTATATTGTAAGCGCTTATTACTTTATTTTTAGACCTGATAATGGCCTAATCCCGAAACCGGTTGTCATTTAACTTCCTAAAATTAAATTACGTGGGATTGATTTTGGGTCATTTTTTTACCTTTAAGGTACATATTAGTTAGTTACTCTGTATACTATCACATTTTTCTACTCTTTTATACTATTCGATTTCAAAAATGTATACCTGAAGTGTACATTGAATCGTCTGGAAGTTGCATTTCTTGAGCTTTTGTTTACGTTCTTTCTTTCTTTCCCTTTCTGTCTATTTTTTTTCTTTCTCTTCTCACCTTTAAAATTATGGATAGTTTTCATTGAAATTATTTAATATTCATTTAATTATTAAATAGTACCCAACCATAGCGCGCGAACGTATCCTCCAGTCAGTTTTTTTTTATTTCAATTTTTTGACTGCGCGAACTGAGTCCATTCGCCAAACCACATAGATTATATTGTTCTAATTTTATACCATATTTTAAGGATAATGCGCTCACCCTTAAAAATTTTTTATTTCAGTAAAGTTCATAGTTGAGAATGATTGAGCGGACCAGTGGAAGACTTAACAAAAGCTCGCCAGGTCGTATCCATCT